CTTGCAGGCTCTCACGTTTAGCATGGACTCTCGTCCTAAACCTAACCATGTAGACTTTAGACTGATTTTGAGTTCCGTACCTGATTTCTAGAGCAACTACCAGTGCTCTATAGTTGTGTCTGTCGTCTGCTGACAACTGTCCCAGTATTTCCAGTGGTTATCCCTTCAAGCTAGTTGCCAGGTACACTGCTTTCTGCTCCTCTGTCCATCCATTCATTTCTGCCAGGAACTCAAATTGTGCTCTATATGCTTCCCATGATACCTTCCCATCGAATTCCTGTGGCTTCCTTCGTACTAGATCACCCCTATTGCTGACACTCATGTGTGGAGTGTGACTTCTGGCAGGACTGAAGATGTCTGCATTAGGGTATAGCTGCGGGGTCTGAAAGGTGCTTCCTGTTGTCTGGGGCTGATTGGGTCCACGTCTAATATATCCTCCCTGTGTAAAAGATAGTAAATCGTATTTTAATATACTTAATTCACATTGAAATTTACTAATCTTTTCCATTTGTACTTCATGCTGATGTTGTACTCTTTCTCCCCTTGTTCTTCTTGCCAATGTTGCTGAATTTCCTGTAGTTGTTGGAGACTTTCTTCCTGTTTCCTTTCTTGTTCCAGTTGCCACTGCTGTAGCCTCTCTTCTTGTTTCTTTTCTTTTCCTCCAATAACTGTTATAATCTATCTTCTTGTTTCTTTTCTTTTTCCTCCAACCACTGCTGTAGTCTCTCTTCTTGTTTATTTTATTTCTCCTCCAACCACTGCTGTAGTCTCTTTTCATGTTTATTTTCTCATTCTTCTTGTTTCTTTTTCTGTTCTTGTATTGCTGCCATCAAATCTGCTAGGTCGTAGTTTGATTTGCCACTTCTCCTTTCCTTTTTTTTTATTGTGTGTTCTTCGTCACACTCTCTGTTGTAATATCCAAAGCTTCAAAATACTACTGCCAAAGAAAATTTTTGGTATAGTTACGTATCTGTGTTTTTGATAATTTCCGGTAAAATTCTTTCCGAGATACTTCAGCAATAAAAGTCCTTTCTTGATTATACCAGTTTATTCTTTCTCGATACAAATTTTTAGTACTCAGTACTTTCACAATCAGTACGTTTCTCGTCACTTTAAACTTAATTACTTTTATAATACACGCTATAAATCACAGCGATTTGCAATCTCGAAAACACACACTAGCTCAAAACAATATCGTAAATTACCCGGAACTCTCTTCATTCAATCCTGCAGACTTTCTCTGCCAGGCTTATTTACTAAAAAAGAGAGCGTCTCGTAAAACTCGGTTTTCCCCGATAATTCATGATCATTCGAGAAATTCATCACGTGTTAACAGCGTCATGTGACTTCCGCTGTCGTAACAGTATTTTAAATTTATGAGAATCAGTTCTGTAGTTTAGTCGCTTCAGTAATGGGTAATGTTGGCTCTTGAGTTAAAATTGCTATGACTGGATATATCAAAAACCTCATTGGTTCTTTGCCATGCCAGGAATGCTAGAACAATTTCATCTGGCTGTAAGTCTTCTTTCAAAGTGCAGTCTTTTCTTTGTAAAACTCGAAAAGTCTGCTCTATTGTACTTAATACAGTACGTGCTAACCTTAGGCCAAAGTACACTTTGAATTCTTCTAAATGTTTTTTTTTTATTATTATTGGTTCGAAATTGGCAGTATGTTGGCTTAACGACTATATCTAATAATAAAATCAGATAAAAGACTATTTGAATTTGGCGAGCTTTTCATCATTATTGTATATTCTATTAAACTAATATAGCCAACATTATTCAAACTTTTAATATCAATTAACTGTATAGCAGACTAAGGCTGATTCAACGTTGGCACAGTGAAAGTATTCACCTTTTTAACGCTAACCTCACACAGGGGTGGCCAATCCCCAGCAGGGAGGGAACCAGAATTTTGAAACGTACGTCACTGAAGAGCCGGCCCGGCATGGCCAGGTGGTTAGGGCGTTCGACTCGCAATCTGCGGGTCGTGAGTTCGATTCCCCGTACACACCAAACATGCTCGCCCTTTCAGCCGTGGGGGGCGTTATAATGTGACGGTCAATCCCACTATTC